ACGGATGGGGCACTGCGCCCTGCTGCATGCCTCCACCTGTCCAGCTGTGCTTCCCTCCTCCTCATCATCTACTCCTCCTGCTGCTCCTGCTGGTGCTCCTACCTCCTGGCCTCTCCTCCTCCTCATCATCGTCATCGTCCTCATCATCATCATCATCAACAGCAGCATCATCATCATCATCAGCAGCATCATAATCATCGTCATCATCATCGTCATCGTTATCACCAAGATCAACATCAGCAGCAGCATCATCAACATATTCTTCATCCGCAACATCATCCTCATCCTCATCCTCATCCTCTCATCTTCCAGCCCTCATCTCTCATCATCACCCTCATCATCAGCATCATCATCATCATCGTCGTCGTCGTCATCATCAGCACCGCCACCGCAAGCATCATCACTATCAACACCACCACCACAACCATCTTCATCATCACCACCACCATGATCATCAGCAGCAGCGTCATCAGCATCATCAGCATCATCAGCATCATCAGCAGCAGTATCAGCATCGTCGTCGTCATCACCATCATCATCAGCATCAGCAGCATGATGATGATGATGATCATCATCATCAGCAGCCGCAGCGGATGCATCATCACCATCATCAGCATCAGCATCGTTTCCATCGTCATTGTCACCGCCATCGTCATCAGAATCATCATCATCGTCATCATCCATTAATTGGTATCATCATCAGCATCATCATCATTATTATCAGCATCAGCAGCAGCATCAGCATCAGCATCAGCATCAGCATCAGCATCATCAGCAGCAGCATCACCATTATCATCACCAGTATTGTCATGGTCGTCGTCATCAGTATTCCCTTCCTCTCCGCCAGTCACCGCCTTCCTGGTGAAACTTAAATTCCTCCTCCTCGACCTCCTCCTCCTCTTCCTCCCCCTTCTCCTCCTCCTCCTCCTCATCATCATTGTCATCGTCATTGTCATCGTCGTCGTTGTCATCATCAGCAGCAGCATCAGCATCAGCATCAGCATTAGCAGCAGTAGCAGCATCAGCAGCAGCATCATCGTCATCCTCTTCCTCCTCCTCCTCATCATCACGATCAGCATCATCATCATCATCATCACCACCATCATCATCATTAATCATCATCATAATCATCAGCATCATTATCTTTATCATCATCATCATCATCAGCAGCAGCATCATCATCATCATCATCATCATCATCAGCATCATCAGCATCATCGTTACCATCAGCAGCAGCATCAGTATCACCATCACCATCAGCATCACTATCACCATCACAATTATCATCATCAGTGTTATCATGGTCGTCGTCATCCTCTCCGTCCGTCACCGCCTTCCTGGTCAAACTTCATTTCCTCCTCCTCCTCCTTCTCGACCTTTTCCTCCTCCTCCATTCCTTCTCCTTATAGATAACTCCTCCCTGCCGCACCCCGAGGCCAGTTTTTAGGGCGGGCCCGGCCTTTCGCCTGAGACTTCCTCACCATTTGCGACTCTGAAGCTTAGAAAGTGACAGCAGTTTCACAGATAGAGGGCGGGTCGTTTTCAAAATGTGGCTCTCGCCTTAGCGCCGCGCACATTCGCTTGAAAAATGAGCAAGGGTTTTACGGCTCGAGGGCGGGTGGTTTTCAAAATATGGCTTTCGCCTTGGCGCCGCGCACATTCGTTTTTAAAATTTGCAAGAGTTTCACGGATTGAGGGCGGGTGGAGTTCAAAATGTGGCTCTCGCCTTAGCGCAGCGCACATTCGTTTTACAAAATTGTAAGAGTTTCCCGGATTGAAAGCGGTTGGTTTTCAAAATGTGGCTCTCGCCTGAGCGCCGCGCACATTCGCTTGAAAAATGTGCAAGGGTTTTACGGATTGAGGGCGGGTGGTTTAAAAAATGTGGCTTTCGCCTTAGCGCCGCGCACATTCGTTTAAAAAATGTGCAAGAGTTTCACAGATTGATGGCGGGTGGTTTCCAACATGTGGCTCTCGCCTTAGCGCCGCGCACATTCGTTTTCAAAATTTGCCAGAGCTTCACGGATTGAGGGCGGTTCCTATTCAAAAGATGGCTCTCGCCTTAGCGCCGCGCACATTCATTTTTGAAACATTTGCAAGGGGAGTTGCGCGGATGCCCATGAAGGATGCGGATGCAACAGTTATGTTGATTCGCGGTGTTGAAGTCCCAAAAATGGCGCTCTGGCACGAAGCCGGATCGTCAAGACGCAGCAGCAGTGAGGTTGATACGTGGCGTTGAAATCCCGAGAACAATGTTTTGGCATGCTTCAGGATCTTCAAACGGTTGTCTTCCAATGAGGCAGTTCCCTCTATGGAAATGAATCGTCGTGGGGGCCCATGATGAAGGAGCTTGGAGGGAGGGTTAATTCCAACATCGTTGATGACTCTGGGTTTTACACTCGTCCTCCTCCTCCTCTTCACCATCTACGGCTCCGTGGCGACAGGCAAGACCTTCATCCTGGCCTTCAATGGACGAGCGCAAGCACGATGTCAGCCTGGCAGGCCTAAGCTGGATCGGGTCGCGAAATCGGATCGGATCGAAAACGCATCGAATAGAAAAAGTCGTCCTGAATCGGATGCAGATCGCATCGACGCGCCGGGCTCTGGCTGGCCCTGGCCGATGAGGCCAGTGAGTCGAATCGGGTCGAACGTGATCGAAATCGCAGCCAGCCAGCGAATCGAATCGGATCGTAGGCGGCTCTGCCTGGTCGCGAACGTCTAGGACAAGTGCAGCATGGGTTACAGGCTCCGCGACGCCGAGCAAGGCCATCGTCCTGGCCGTCCACGAACGAGCGCAGGCACGGGCAGCGGCGCCGTGCCGACGGGCAGGACCATCCTCTCAAACAGCACTTGCGCAAGAAGCATGGACAAGGAACTTGCCCTGACGGGCGAGTCCATAACTGAAGGGGCCCCAGGGCACACAAATAAATACACACAAATAGAAAGATTCCCCATATTTACCCATATTTTCTGGGTTTTTGTCTTCCCCCCCACTTCCCATAGTTTCCCATATTTTTCCTGGGAATCGACGATTAATTGTGTCTATGTGTTTTTGTTCCCCTCCTGAATAACCTTGGGCACGTCGTTTGACGTGGAGGGTACGGGCAACCTTGCGTTTGCAGACACGACCGTCACCTCCGAAGCCACTTGCACAAGAGTGGTACACAAGAGTAACACGACGAGAGCGAGACGGCAATTGCTTCTGAAGGCGATGTCGGCCAGGCAGAGGCCTAGCAAGGGATGAATCTCTGGAGTTCGACTTCGAGCTGACAGCACCATGCACGGTGTCGCCAAGTGCGGCATAGGCATGTAAACTCGCACGGAGCGTCGTCACCAGCGATGCGGAGGGTGGAGCGAGTCTCAGACCGAAGAGCGGAGGGAGCAACGACACCGCGCTGACTGGCAACCCAGTTGTCGTGGACGGCACCGAGGAGAATAGCAGGGGCAGCTTTGAGCTGACAGGCACAACCACCACCGCTGACTTGGCATGGAAGCCATAGATGCGGAAGGCGGCGTGAACCACGCTGAGAGCAGCGCATCTGCTACGACTCCATGTTGACGGGGCAAGGCCACCTCGGACGGCATCGATGCGAGCAGCAGGGGCACGGACACCGAGCCGACGGGCCACAGCGTCATAGTGACAGCGCGAGCGAGGACCTGGGCCTTGGAGAGCCTGGCAGCGCCCGACGGGGCAGCGGCGGCCTCGCAGAGCCCCGGCTTGGACACCGCGCCAAGGCCCCAGAGAGGGGCCTGCGCACGGCCGGGGCGGCCGAGGACCTGGCCGAGCTGGTGAAGCAGCAGGCCACAGCGGCCCCGATGCGCTGGCTGGCGGAGCGAGGCACGCCGTGCCTCGCTCCGCCAGCCACGGGCCGCCCCGCCTCCTCCTCCTCCCCCTCCTCCTCCTCATCCTCCTCCTCCTCCTCCTCCCCCTCCTCCTGCTCCTCCTCCTCCTCCTCCTCCTCCTCCTCCTCCTCCTCCTCCTCCTCCTCCTCCTCCTCCTCCTCCTCCTCCTCCTCCTCCTCCTCCTCCTCCTCCTCCTCCTCCTCCTCCTCCTCCTCCTCCTCCTCCTCCTCCTCCTCCTCCTCCTCCTCCTCCTCCTCCTCCTCCTCCTCCTCGGGCGACGAGGCAGCTGTCTGGCAGGTCGGCCAGCCTCCGACGCCAGGCGCCAGGAGGCCTCGCGGCGGACGCGGAGCCAGGGATGCCGGCGCCTCGGACCCTCCCCGCCAGACGTCGTGGGGAGCCCCCTCGAGCCGCGGGCCCGGCGCTGGGCGCAGGGAGGCCTCGCGGAGGGGACGCGGGGCCAGAGAACACCGCGGCCCGGGCGCTCCCCGGCGGGCGCCGAAGGGCCCTCTCCCGGGCCAGTGCTCGAGACGAGGGGCCCGCGGCGCTCGGGGGCGGGGGGCGGCACCCCGAACAAGGCCAGAGCGCCAGCCGCGCGGCCAGCACAGGGCACGACGCTTTCTGTTCGAGCGCGCTGCGTGCGGCCTGTGCAGTCGGGCGTCGGCGGATGCGGCGACGCGGTCACTTTGCAGCAGTCCAGGCGGCCCTCCTCTTCGACGTGCCAGCCACCCAGCTGATGGGGGAAGGGGTTCCACCGCACCGTGACGTGCGGCCAGCCTGCGTCTCCTGCGTCTCCCTTGAGACAAGCAGCACGGCGTCCTCTTCCTCCTCCTCCTCCTCCTCCTCCTCCTCCTCCTCCTCCTCCTCCTTCTCATGATCCTCTTCTTCCCCTTCTGTCAATTGTGTCTGACAACCTGCATTGACGCCTGCCTCCGTTCAGCGAGGCCTGTCCCTCCCAGCGCAGTGACTTTCCTGGCGAAAACTCACTATCGCCTGAGAACAGTGGGGAAGGAGAAGGAGGAGCAGGAATGCTGGATGTCTACAAGAATGCCAAGGAGCCTCTAACGGATGGCGGTGTGAGAAACATTGCCCACAAATTCGACTGCGCAGTGCCCATGCAAACGGAAGAGATAACAAGGGCAATAGATGATGACATGGCTCACCGTCGGGAGAATCAGAAGCAGCGTCTTGGACACATGGTCCTGTCCGTGGCTGGAGAAACAAAAGCAATCATGGAAAGTGAGGACGATGACGACGAAAGGGAGAGCTGAATACTAGGGGCTTCAACACTGAACGCCACATCGCGAGGGCCACCTTGACTCACAAAAGGCGTCCCGTCCGCGAGTCGTGCCCGATACTGCGGAAGAGCCGCTACTCAAATGGCCTCATCCCGTGAATCCGCCGACCCCTTGTGGGTCTCTAGGCGTGTGAAATGTTCCCCCTATATCCCCCCCGGGACCCCAAACTGGAAATTCGTGGTCGCTCGAGCGATTTGCATCGCTCAAGGTGTGTGGCTCACTCTCAAAAGGGCAATCGACGAAACCACCCCTGATTGTCCATTTGACAATGGGGGGTAAGGGATTTTCCATTGTCAAATGGGGAGCCAGGTTTCCCGATGTCCCCCCTTGACACTGGCGCCCCCGCTGCCAATTGGGCATTCGGGGCTCATTTTCCGCCGCTCTGGCTTGGTCCTCCCGATTGCCAATTTCACAGTGGGCGTCCCACAATCACATGGCGCACTGGGAATTCCCCCTTCCGGCCCGCTCGCCCCCCCCGAATGCCCGTTTGACAATGGGGCCACATTGTAAAATCGCCATCCGGCCCCCCCACCCGCGCGGGCCCCCGAGTGCGCACCACTATCAAATGGTCATTCGGGCGCACCCTTCTGCTGTATTCCCCCAATTTCGTTTGTATCCTTTCGTATGCTTTGACATTATTCCACTTTCCGCGGGGTTCCCTTACACTTATAAGGATTAGTATGGATACTTTGGGGCTCCTCAGGGTTCCTGCACACTTCACTTGTTAATTTGTTTCATTTTCTGGGGCTCCTCAAGATTCCAGATTCCTCCAGCGTTCTTTCGATGCCCCGATGATTCCTCTGGACTCCTTCTGATTTACGCAGGTCCCTGAAGCTTCCTCCAATGTCCAGAACATCCGAAGGTTCCTTTGGACACCTCGGGTCCCCTGGAACGCTCCAGATTGCCCAGATTCCCTGGGAATCCTCCAAAATCCCAAGGAATCTCAAGGACTTCTCCAAATTCCCCAAAATTCTTCCAAATTCCGAGATTCCTCCAGCTTCAAACAAGTCCTGCCGGGCTCTAATTCTGTCATTCCTAGGGGCACCCCGAATGCGAATTTGACATCGGGGCCGCATTTTCAAATTGCAGTTCGCCACCACCCCAACCCTTTGGATTCTCCCAATTTTATTTGGGCTACTTCGGGTGCCCTCAAATTTTCGCCGTCCCAATGATCATCTGACGGCGGGGTTGCAACGTCAGATGTCCACTGCCCCCCCCCAATGGAGTATCCAAACTTCCTTGGGGTGACTTTGGGCGCCTTCAAATCATCCCAACTTCCAAGGAGGTTTTTTCAGTTTCCTCAAAGTTTTTCTGGGTTGTTTGGGGCTCCGGACTTCCTGCTGATTTGTTCCCAACAATCATGTGGTGTTGGGTCCTCGTTTTGAAGAGAGGGCGCCCCGCGTTCCTTCCTCTTTCCCGCACTCCCGCCTGCTCCTCCTCTTCCTGATCCTCCTCCTCCTCTCCCTCCTCCTCCTCCCCCTCTTCCTCCTCCTCCTCCTCCTCCTCCTCCTCCTCCGCCTCCTCCTCCTCCTCCTCCTCCTCCTCCTCCTCCTCCTCCTCCTCCTCCTCCTCCTCCTCCTCCTCCTCCCCCTCCTCCTCCTCCTCCTCCTCCTCCCTCCTCCTCCTCCTCCTCCTCCTCCTCCTCCTCCTCCTCCACCACCACCACCACCACCACCACCACCCTCCTCCCTGCGTTTCACCCACCCAGTGCAGCGTTGCGCGGCCCCATAGGGAGCTCCACCGAAGGCCCAAGTGGCAAGGATCACGTGGCGGCCTCGGGCCATTTCGGCACACACACACACACACACACACACACCACGAGGATCGCGGCCCCATAGGGAAATCCACCGAAGGCCCCCAGCGGTGGGGTTCGCATGGCGGCCTCGGGCCATTTCGGCACACCCCTCACAAGGGTCGCGGCCACGTAGGGAGCTCCACCGAAGGCGCCAGCGGCGGGGTTCGCACGGCGGCCTCGGGCAATTTCGGCGCACCCCTAACGGGGATCGTGGCCACACAGGGAGCTCCACCGAAAGGCCCCAATGGCAGGGCTCGCACGGCGGCCCCGGGCCATTTCGGCACACACACCCCACGAAGATCGTGGCCCCATAAGCCATAGGGAGCTCCACCAAAGGCGCCAGTGGCAGGGCTCGCACGGCGGCCTCGGGAAATTTCGGCACACCCCCATACGAGGATCGTGGCCCCATAGGGAGCCCCACCGAAGGCCTCCAGCGGCAGGGCTCGCATGGCGGCCTCGGGCCATTTCGGCGCACCATCCACGAGGATCGTGGCCCCATAGGAAGCTCAACCAAAGGCGCCCGCGGCAGGGTTCGCACGGCGGCCTCGGGCCATTTCGGCACACCCCTCACGAGGATCGTGGCCCCATAGACAACTCCACCAAAAGCCCCAGTGGCAGGGCTCGCACGGCGGCCCCGGGCCATTTCGGCACACCACTCACGAGGATCGCGGCCCCATGGGGAGCTCCACTGACGGCCCCAGTGGCAGGGTTCGCACGGCGGCCACGGGCCGTTTCGGCTCCCCCCTCACGAGGATCGTGGCCCCACAAGAGCTCCACCGAAGGCGCCAGTGGCAGGGTTCGCATGGCGGCCCCGGGTCATTTCGGCACACACCCCACGAGGATCGTGGCCCCATAGTTGCGCTGCTTAAACAACCGCGCCTGGGCGTCGCATTCCGCCTTGTCGACGTGCAACGCCACCTCCTCCCTCATGGATCTCAAAGCCCTCTCCTGCTTTTGCTCCTCGGTCAGAAGGGCGCCGTCCTTGTCGTCGTCGGCGCCCGCGGAGACGGCCACGAACGCGTTCCTGAGCACGTCGGGCTCCGGCGGGAAGCCGTGGCCACAGAGGGAGCGCGGGCGAAGATGCCATTCACAATTACGGTACTCGGTATTCACAACTGCAAATCGTCGGGTCCTTCGCCAAGCTAATTCTGGATTCTTTTTGATTCCTTTGGATCCCTCTGGATTATTGCTGATTCCTCGACATTCCTTTCGATTTCCCTCTGGTTCCACAGAAGTCCTCCAAATCCCGGCTGATTCTTAAGGCTTCGTCAAATTCCCACCAAAAGGTGTCGGATTGTTTTGGATTCATCCGGATTCCCAACGAATATTCAGGACTGTCCAGACTTCCTTACAATCGTCCAGATTCCTTGAGACACCCTACGGCGTCTCCAGAGCCCTGAAAACTCATCCAGGTTCATCAAACAGAATTTTGCAAGGGGTCCGCCGGATTCCTTTGGATTCCCATGGAATGCTCCAGATCTCCCAGATTCCCCAGGAACCCTCCAAATCCCCGCGGATGCTCACGGACTTCTCCAGATCCCACGCGACCTGGATTCGCACACGTCCTACGGGTTCTGGATAATTTCGTTTTCAGGGCACCCCCCGAACGCGGCGCTGACAGCGGAGCCCCACCGTCAAATGTCCCCTTGGATTCGACCAACTTCCTTTGGATTCCTCTGGGGGGGGCCTGCAAATTCTCCCTAATTGCATGGGCCCCCTTTAAAGTCCTCAGGTTTCTGCTGGAATCCTGTCGACCCCTCGAGGTACCTGCGCACGTTTCACCGGATGCATGTTCATTCCCAACCATCCTATGGTGTGGAGTCTTCGTATTGAACAGGCGGCGCCCCGCGTTCCTTCCTCCTTCCCGCCCCCCCCTTCCTCCCTCTTCACTGCGTCGCACCCACCCTGCACACCGTTTCGTAGCCCCATGGATGGCTCCACCGAAGGCCCCCAGCGGCAGGGTTCGCACGGCGGCCTCCAGCCATTCCGGCACACCCCCCACAAGGATCGTGGCCCCATAGGGAGCTCCACCGAAGGCCCCCAGAGGCAAGGTTCGCATGGCGGCTTCGGGCCATTCCAGCACACCCCTCACGAGGATCGTGGCCCCATAGGGAACCCCACCGAAGGCGCCAGTTGCAGGGTTCGCGCGGCGGCCACGGGCCATTTCGGCGCACCCCTCACGAGGATCGTGGCCCCACAGGAGCTCCACCGAAGGCGCCAGCGGCAGGGTTCGCACGGCGGCCTCGGGGCCACTTCGGCTCACCCCTCACGACGATCGTGGCCACATAAGGAGCTCCACCGAGGGCGCCAGCGGCAAGGCTCGCACGGCGGCCTCGGGCAATTTCGGCACACACACACACACACACACCTCACGAGGATCGTGGCCCCATCGGAGCTCCAGCGAACTCCAGCGAAGGCGCCAGCGGCAAAGTTCGCGCGGCGGCCCCGGGCCATTCCGGCGCACCCCCCACGAGGATCGTGGCCCCACAGGAGCTCCGCCGAAAGCGCCACTGGCAGGGTTCGCATGGCGGCCCCGGGCCATGTCGGCACACCCCTCACGAGGACCGTGGCCACATAGCTGTACTGTTTCAACAGCCTTGTCGACGTGCAACGCCACCTCCTCCCCCATGGCTTTCAAGGCCCTCTCATGCTTCTGTTCCTCGGTCGGAGGGGCGCCGTCCTTGTCGTCGTCGGCGCCCGCGGAGACGGCCACGAACGCGTTCCTGAGCACGTCGGGTTCCGGCGGGAAGCCGTGGCCACATAGGGGGCGCGGGCGAAGATGGCATTCACAATCACGGTATTCACAACTGCATATGGTTGGGTCCTTCGCCACGCAAATGTTTAGGAGTTCCTCGCGATTTCATACTCCACAAATGTAGTTTCGTGTTTCCCCTGATTCCAGAGTTACGCAGGTTCCTGAAGCCTCCTCCAATATCCAAACGATTCGAAGGTCTAGGTTCCTCCGGATTCCCTTGGAATGCTCCTGATGTCCAACATTCCCCTGGGATCCTCCAGCTTCCACAGGAGTTGAACAAATTCCCCTGAACTCCTCCATATTCTTCTGGGTTCGAACACGTCCTGTGGATTTCTGATTCCCCACATGTTTCGT